TTATTAAGTATAATCCATACACATTTCTAAAATATATATATTCGATATAAATTCATATGTATTCTAAGGTTATCTTATAAAAATAAAATTAAATAATATATAGGAACAATTTATTTTAACAAGTATATATTTTATCATAAAAATATTTCTATTTCTTCTTTCTCTTCAACAGATTTACTTATAAATTTTCACAAGTACTAAATTGGATATAGTCCATCCTATAGCATATGTGTTTTTTTCTCCTATTTTGCAAAGATTCTCTTACAATGTGATAATATATACTAACTTCATGTTCTAGTAATTTTCACGTACTCCATCTCCGTAATTATATAATAATGATCAATATTTTTTAAAACTAAAATTTATCACTTTTCAAATTTAACAGTGATCACACTGGAATAATCATATTTTTAAATATATAATAACAAAATACAATTCTGCTAAACCTTTAAACCTAACCCCTGAATATGTGACGAAAAAATGACACTTTTATTTACTATAATTACATGAACTCACCATGCATGTGTAATCTTAAATTGCGATATTAGTGTTATGATTGTTTGTGTATACAAAATTTAATGTACTTAGCATTAAAATATTTTATAAGAATTATTGTATAAGAAATGATTCAAAATTAATTTTTAATATGGATATTTAATTACAGGGATTGTACTTTTCAACTTTATTATAAAATAAATTTCCATGATGTACAATAGAAACTTTACATTATGTTCATTACATAATTATTAGAAATAGTAATTATTATATGCATTAAGGTTTTTTACAATAAGAAATTTTACTAATAATATATTTTTTCATACCGTAAAAAATAACTGTTTTCTACAAGTTTCCCATTTAAGAAAATTAAAGCACTTGTTGTATTAATAGTATTATTATTCATCATTTATAACCTTAAATAATTACGGATTTAAAAGTAATAATTTTTTTTAAACTATATAATATTATATATAAAAAATAATACTTGTTCTTGTTTTATTGAATTTTGTTAATCATTTTTTTTATTACGCATTACTATCCGAATCATATTACATATAATTATTTTATAATATTTTCTGCGGCTTCAGTAAATTATTTTCCTTTAATTATATATTTAATTGTATAATCATTGATAATTGTATGATATATTATATCTACAATCTCTTAACATGCTACTAGATATTTGGGGATCATGGTATATGTTTTTTTCATCATCTTTGTTATCCCAAAGTTTTCTTCTCCATGGTATAACACTTCGTATCCATAAACCACATTCTGAGAACTAAATCATAAGGAAAATACGCATGTAGTATATTATTCTTTTTATCTTTATAATTTTTCTTTTATTCCATGCAGTAAAATTATTACATAACAAAAATACATACAAATAATATGGTACTTAACCTTAAGCAGAACAAATATGAAAATGCATATTAATAGTGTTACTAAAAGTGTAATTATAATATGAGCTGCAATGTTACTTTTGCATGGAATTGTTATTGGTGATTTACTAATTTCACCATTTAGAGTTTCCATTTTTTTATTGTGTTTATTCATCATGTCTACCACATCTTTAAAATTATCAACATTTCTGTAAGTGTGTGTAATTATTTTATTGTACATATCATATATAGCTCTGATTTTAGGAAAATCAATTTCTTTAATCCCATTCTTAAGACATCTCAATATTTTTATGTCACCTTCAAAGCGAAGATCTTTGTAACCTTTAATAAATATATTTAGTAATTCATCATAAACTTCATCGACTTGGACAGTTATATCTATGTTATCCTTGTGATGTAGTAGTTCATATATCCAATAATAGAGATATTCACAACCGAATTCATTTAAACTTTCCTTAGTACTCGCATTTACATATGCTAAGTATTCCATTACTTGGTTACATATATCTTGTGGATTACGATTATGAACATTTAAATGACTTAATTTAGTGTTATGAGTATTAGCAATACATATCTTTGCCCATTTACCTGGATGAGTATAATCAGTAATTTCTTTTGGTTTTTCGTCTAACACCAATTTACATTGTGGAAAATAAACTACAATTTCATACTAAGAACAAAAGAATATATAAATAATATTAATTAAATAAGTATATCATATTTAACCTAATTAAAAATAATCCATAGATAATATATCTTAAAATATAATAATGTTTCAGATTATATTATGCTAATTAGAACGTACAATAGATTTCCTCATTTTATATAGTATTATACTCTTCAGGAATTTTATTATATTAAATAATAAAATTTAATAATAAAGATATATATATTTATAAAAATAATGTTATACCATGAATACCTTGAATAGTAACAATAATTTTTTTTATATATAGAACTACATAGATTATATTAAAATACCATTGAATTACTTCATCAAAAGTACTTTTAAATTTTAAAATATAATAGTAATAAGTTATGAAAAATTATATATTGGATTAATTATTTTTTAGGACACGATGAAAAACATATATATAATATTTAGTAAAAACAACATGAAAATATTCTCATAAAATATAAATTTAAAATCCCACTGCTATATAAATAGTATATATAATTCTAAAATTGTGAATGATGAACACATATATCTAATGATAATATACGTTATTAAATGGAAAATAAATATAGTTATATTTTTTTATTATTTATTTCATTTTCTATAGAGTTAAATATAATTTGGTATAAAGAATAATAAAATTAATGATTATTGTGGTATATCATATATACATTTCATTATTAGTATATAAAAACTCATATAATATTTTCAAAATAATTTATTAATGTATAATGATACACATTCATGTATTCAATACTGTACTCACATGAATTATTTAATATATTATTCCATTTATATAAGAATAATGCACAATTCTAAATAATATATATATATATAATACTTAAAAAAGTATTATTATAATATTTATTTCATAGTTAATTTTTTTTTTGAATAAATGTTATAATACATTTCCCACGCATGTATTAATGTATTATAAATAATATTACTCCTTATTATTCCTTTTTTCCCTTGGTTCTAATATATTAATTTTACATCATAAAATATATGCTCACAAAAGTATACTATTTTCAAACGTTATAGAACATTGGTTATATAATATAAAATAAGACTATTGCTTTAATTGTGCATACACAAGAAATATTTTCAATACACCCATTTTTTTTAATTTTATACATATATATATATATATTTTATTATTTTATAAAATAAAATTATATCTACACCATAATTCTAATGGAAGATTTTGAGTGTAAAAAATAAATTGGTATACATAATTTAATTTCAATTGAGTATGTATAGAAGAATAAAAATATAAAAATTATTATTCCTCCTTTCTCTTTTTATGTAAAATAAAACATGTTATATATTCTTTATTTTATATATTTCATGAATTCTCTCTATATAATTAAATTTATATTATAATAATATATAGTAAATAAGTCCTTAACATAATAAACATAATTCTTTGTAATTACATTTGTATTAATATATCTATATATATTTTTTAATAAATAATATTTTATATATTAATTCTAAGGAATGTATAAAATTTATTTTATAATTAAATTCTTAATATCGTATAAAATTAATCAGAATTGATAATTATTTATTAATCTAATTATAACTTGTTTATTAAATCAGTGTATAATTTATTACAATAATATATTTTCATTTCCCTTAGTGTTTATAAAAATTCCTGCCTTTAGGTTTCAAAGTTTAGGGTTTACTGTTCATTATTTATTGTTCAGTGTTTTGGATTTTATTTTTCTTGCGCAGGTTTTTATTATTTATTTTTAAGGGTTCTGTGTACTAATTCTAGTATTTAGATTCTATGCTCTGATATTTTGGGTTTATTTATTACAATTTATGCTTTATCTATTTATATTTATCGTTATGGATATAGGTTTTAGGTTTAGGTTACGTGGATTTTTCTGTTATATTTATATTTATGATTATATATTTATTTATTATGGTTTTCTTTTTTTTATATATATATATTATTTTTATTATTATTTGATTTTTCCATTTAGTTAATTATATCATCTTTTATTACGAGAATTCTTATATTTTTATATACATTCTTATTTGAATTTATATCTTCATTATTTTAATAAGTTGATCATGAATCTTTATTTATATATTTTTATAATATATATCACTAATTATATTTGTCACTAAGTTTTATTTATGTTTTCTATATTCCTTTAGCTTTCTTTTTATAATTATATTCATGTATAAATTGTATATTATAATCATCAATTAATGCGTTTTTCTATTTAGGCTTTCATAAATGTAATTATATTCCATTATAATATTATCTACATCATCATTATTTTATCTTTGTCATATTTTTCTTGAGTGCTACTCACAATTATTTTTCTAGTTATTATAATAATAATTAAAATTTTGTATATTATTTTTATTATAATCTAGGTCCTTATTAATATATGAACAATAAAATAAATCACATATATTTAGTTTATAGAGCGAATTATATTAATGTATAATGTTTTTTTTCGAATGCAGTGTAACTTTACTATTATTTTTTTTAATTTGGGATTTATGGCAATAGTCAATAATTCTGTAGAAATCTAAACATGTTCACATATATTATACCTATAGTCAGCTATTGTTTTAAACGTTTTTTCAATATTTAAAAAAAAGTTAGTAATAACATTTTCGCTATAATTTTCCTGTGAATTTATTTTTTTTATACTAATATTTTTTATTCAACAGAATTCATAATTACATAATCTGAGAACTTTCAAATTCATATAGATCTGAGACTAATACAATAAATATTTTAAGTTACCCTATGGACTCAATTTATTTACATATACATTATATTTTTAATCGAATTCATTTTTCAAATGTTATATAAGCAATATTTTTATTCTGAGATACTTTATTGCAACAGCATATAGATACCATATTTGTTTATAAAACTTCCTTTATTATTCCCCCTTCCATATAAAGAATATGGTATATATCATTTTCCAAAATATTTTGTAATGCATTCTTTTATTTTTAATATATATTCCCATATTTCAAAATCTCTCTGAGAATCTATTATAAGTTTTCTATGGATTTTGTCAATGTGATGTCCAAATTCTTCTGAATAATTTAAAAAAATTTTCAGTTTACATCTAATTCTTGCAACATGTTTTACCACTAAGTATATTAACGGTTAGAGTAGGCATTATAAATTTATTAATTTTTTTTTATAAATGTCCTTCCTCATCTTTCCTTAAATAAATTATTTACAAAAACAAATTTGGTATATTAGAACAGATATTTTCACGCTGAAACATTACATTTTAGCATAATGAGATTATATTAATAAATTTAGGGTGTTATAAATAATTGTACTCATAAAAGATATGGATTCATGTATTTAATTTTTACAATGGAGCTTTATAAGAAATTCATTATTTAAATCATTTGAACTAGTACTATTTCGTACGTGTAGTTGTTTTTATGAATATCTATAATATATTTATATATTCAAAAATTCATTTAAGGTATTTGCAACATTTTTAAGAATTAAATTAACATTAGCGGCGATGTGTCCAAATATGACTTTTAGGAATTAAATAATGACAAAATACACATAAGTATATCTGGTTCGAATATAATGCATACAGAATAATTAAATAATGAATAATGTAATACTTTATTTAAGTAATACTAACGAATGAAAAAAGACTAATTGAAATTTTTATGTATGTGTGTATATCTATAGCATTTCTTTTTTAATAATGAGACAGAGAACATTTTTTATATAGTATAAATTTTCCTTTAAGAACCTGTTATCCCATGTTATGGTGTGATACAATTATTATAAAGAATGATATTAATGAAAAGAACTGCAGTTACCTCTTGGTTTTAAGAAAAATCTTTTAAGAGCATATAAATCTGATTTAATAATATATTAAGAATTTTATAATGTCGCATAAGATGACAAAAAATAAATAATATATAAA